TGATTTGAAGTATGATATTTTTAACCCCAGATTTTTCCCTGACCCACCCTGTTTTCCCCTTGTCTATTAAGGTTGCACGTATCATATTCCTTTTCATCGATCACAGTGTCGACCTCAGTTTAAACTGAACCCTCTTTGTGCGCCTCCAGGTTTCTGCTCTATAAGTAAGTACCGGCAAGATTCAGCTATTATACACCTTAATCTTAGAGGTTAGTGGCAGTCTAACAGTGATGACTTGAGAATGCTGGCCGAATGGGTTCCAGCCCATTCTGCTTCTGCTAGTTACTTCAATCTTGCGTTTAGGCTCCGCGGTCACTAGCTGTCCTAAGTAGACGTACTCTTTTACAACTTTAAGTGCACTGCTACCTGTTCGAAGTGCTTTTCTTCCTTGAGGTTATTGTACATTACTTTCGTTTTCTGCAGATTAAGTTTAAGACCTAACTTTGTGCTTTCCTTGTATATTTCGGTAATATTGATTTTCTATTCAATCCCTGAATTACTCAGCAATGCAATGTCATCGGCGAAACGTAGGTTACTCAGGTACCCTCCATTAACTCTTATTCCTAACACTTTCGGTTCGAGGCATCTGAAAACTTCCTGTAAGCACGCGGTAAGTAGCGTAGGAGAAATCGTATCCTCGTTTTTTACACACTTCTTGTTTGGTATTCTGTCGCTTTCTTTATGGTGCACCATAGTGGCAGTTGAACTTCTGTAGATTTCTTCCAGGATGTTTATATACGCTTTGTCAGCACCCTGATTCCGCAATGTCTGCACCAATGCTGATATGTCTACTGCATCAAATGCTTTCTTGTAATCTAAAAAGGCGATGTGGAGTTGTTGATTGTATTTTGAGCATTTCTCTATGACCTGGTTGATGGCACGAAGGTAGTCGATTGTTGAGTAGCCTGTTTTGAATCCTGATTCTTCTTTTGCTTGACAGAAATCTTATGTTGTCTTATTTTTAGCAATTCATCTGTAAATGCCTTTTATACGACACAGAGCAAGCTAATCAGCCTGTTTACTTCAAGCCCTTATCGTTCCCTCTTTTATGCATGAAGATGATGCCAGCATATTTTCAAGATACTCGTACTTTCCTTGTCAGGTAACTTCTCAAAAACAGGGTTGCTAAATTTTCAAACACAATCTGTCCTCTATTTTTCAGCAGATCTTATGGTACCTGATCATCACCATAACCTTTGCCTTTTTGCATTTCCTCTCAGGGTTTCTATAACTTCTTTTGCCATTACTTCTGGGATGTTAATGGGGTTACTGCTGATTCTTACTTTGTGGTCGTGGTTGTCCCGGCTACTGTACAGATCTCTGAAGAACTCATTCGCTACTTTAACTATCCTAGCCATTCTGGTAGTTACTTTGCCTTTCTTGTCCTTCAGTGCACACGTCTCGTTTTTGCCTGTCCAAGATTCCTCTTCCCCGCATCGATGCTTCCTTCGTTCTTTAGTGCATGTTCGATTCTTTCCATGTTAAGCTTTTTTACATCAGATACCTTACGCTTAATCATATCAACTTCAACAGCTCTATTTTGTCTGTTGTGTTTGAGCTTTTCATGCTTTGACATTTCTTGATCAGGTTTTTTGTCTCCTGGGACAGTTTGCTACTGCCTTCTCTGACTATCGCACCTACAACTTCCACTGGACACTCCGCAATGATAAGCAAGATTATGTTTTATTGCGTAAACGCTAAATCCGGTTCACTCGATCAGATTAAGGAGTATCTGTTCTGAAACGAGACTCTGAATTCGTGTACTTTCCCTCTGAGTGCTAGCCTATTGATAGGCTTCTTGCGTATCAGTTTCTGTTGTTTCTTTTTCACGTCTAAGCGAATAGGAGACCTTACCATTCCATGATTTCTGCATTGTAAGTTGCCAAGCACTTCCACATATTCCATGATGCCTGGGTGTGCACTTAGTATAAAGTCTATTTCGTTCTTACTTTCGCCATTAGGGCTTCTCCGTGTTCACTTACGGTTCACTCGTCTTCGGTGAACAGTATTCAAGATCCGTAAATTATTGCGTTCTGTGAATTTTACTAACAACTCCTCTCCAGCATTTCGAGTATAGATTCTATATTCCCCTACTGCCTGGACTGCAGCCTGCTTCTTTCCTACCTTGACACTGATTTCACCAATCAATATAGTATACTCTGTTTTTACCTTGCTTAATGCCACTTCCATGGACGTCTTCATAGAATTTTTTAAGTAATACGTCATCATGGCTAGATGTAGGCCCGTAGACCTGCACCATTTCATTAAACATTTACTGCTCGAACATGCTATACTTTCTTTGGTAGTATTTCTTGTTCTCATTAATGCACAGAAGTAGAGGGGAAGAAAAAGAAAGAATGAAGATCGCCCAGGTTGGCACTTCCTTCATCACTGTAATCGGCGACAGTCAAATATTTACAAGATTTCCACGATCCATTTGTGTTATGCGCGTCCAACTAGAGTTTCCCTTCGTTATGACGTAACGGATCGGACGAACGAATAAAAAGTTCAGCCCCCAAGCATACACCGCATCGTCCCCTCTGGTCGTCATTCGATGCAATTCAAGTTTGTCATTGTGCCGCACTTGACGTGCCCCGGAGTGTGGGCGGCTCGAAGTTTAATGAAAGGCTTTATCGCATTCTGTCGTTTCCGCAACGTGAAGTAGCAATCATACCCCTAGTCGAGATCAGTGGAAGCAACATGGTGGAGGCATGAAAACAAAAATGCCACCCGCATCCTCCCACTGAGAGAACTCGAATAAATGTGTCGTGATTTGGGGGAGGGGGAGTATCACGTGATTGTTGCGTGATTGGTATCATTTGAGCATGCTTAACTGTTGTTTCGTTTTTGTTATTCTTATTTATTAATTGAAGAATAAGCGTTGCCTTCAACGTCAAGCGAAAGCTAAGCAAAGACGTCCTTGACTGAATTCCGAACGCGCAATCCAGTGCCTACATATACGGGGTGGCCAGTGAACGGTTCTGAAGCGCGAGCATGCAGTCCTTTTCAGGGGCGAAGGCGAACCTCTTTAAAGGGGCACTGACACAAAATTTTGCGCTCGAGATAGCTTGTAGGGTTGATTCCCAGGAACATTCGTCTATCATCTGCACAATATCAGCTGCGAATATAGCTGGGAAGGTATTTTAAAAGGATTTCGAAGTTTTGCGAGCGCTCGACTCCATCGTGCCATTGACACCATCGAAGGGGACCCCTAGAAGACCCCCTATTTCCCTCACGTCACCACGCTACAGTCCACAAAACAAGTTATGATGACGTCATATCCGTCATTTTTCTTTTGCCGCGTTTGTTACCGCAGTCTATATTTCTCGGTGGCTGGTTGCGAGTGCGTGGCCATGGCGCAGGCTTAGAAATTTCCGTTTTTGGCGATATTACAGTCCTGTTTCCTATTCAAATGTAATTCTTGATGCGGACCGTATGGAAGGGGGTCAAAGTTCGGTGTGCTGACGTGTCCAAAAGCTGCACACGCTGGGTGACGACAGTAGCACCCAGTTTTTGGAGCTCTCTCATACCGAAACTGAAACCGATTCATAATAAGGGGCCTGCAAATAGTTATCTGTCGCGTGATGCAGCAAACGATGTGTCGTGTCATGACTAACAAGTCCCCAGCAACACATTGCAGCAGAAAAACGCGAGGCCAAAGTTTTTGTGTTAGTGCTCCTTTAAGGCGTGGGTCATGCGTGTGCTCTATGTAGTAGCCACCTCTCATTTTAGTCCTTGGAATGTCCATGTGACGGCGGTACTTGCATATGATGAACATATGATGAAAAGATGCGAGATGGCGGTACTTGGAGTGTTCACTAGATGAACAGACTTCCGGCCAGACGGATGCACAGACAGACAGACAGACAGACAGACAGACAGACAGACAGACAGACAGACAGACAGACAGACAGACAGACAGACAGACAGACAGACAGACAGACAGACACAGACAGGCAGGCAGGCAGGCAGGCAGGCATATGGACGGATGGAAGTGGCCTGCGGATGATTCACGGTTTGCTGACAAAACCCTTAGAAGCTTCGCCCCACTCATATTGATTCACTCAATGTATATGCTGTGATTTTATTTTTACTAGCGCACTGCCTGCATCGGCCTTGCGAGGCCAGCTACAGTTTCGCGGGTGTCTTCTTGGGCCGGCACGAGACGTGAGCATGCCGCACAATACGCGACACGCGAGCATGTGCAGTATGGGTGTGGAAAGCACCGACGCCAAAGCACGGCATTGTGCGGCTAAACAATTATCCGCATTTAAAAGGCCAATGTGGCCTCATTGGCGGAGCCTATGTATTATTCTTAGACTGTCACCGACTATACTGTGACGCTTTCATTATTATTTTCTTTCTGGCTGCAGCAGCGTGTTGGAAAAGCAGACAACTACATTTCAAGGTCACTTTTTTGTCCGTGCATTTTCATTCTATTGTAATTTTTCAACTACTCTGAAAGGTACAGGAAAGGGTCTGTATAAAGGCACAGAACACCAGAAAAATTTGTGCGGAGGTTGTGTGATCAACGATTCCAGGCGTAAAATCGTCATACTGATAAGGTGGTATTTTTAGGTGCTATTCAGGAGGTTATAATTAACAAGGTGAACAACTACCAACGAAGAATTCAAAATTCCAAGAACATCGCTTCGGTATATATGGCACCGATTCGCAACCAATTTAACTTAAGGTAAATTCAATGCAGCATGAGATGTCTTAAAGAGCCCGCTTCCTGCTGACGTCGCCACGAGCCTCACGCTTAATGGGCTATATTCACAATGATTGACTTAAGTTTATTTATCTGTCTGTCTGTCTGTCTGTCTGTCTGTCTGTCTGTCTGTCTGTCTGTCTGTCTGTCTGTCTGTCTGTCTGTCTGTCTGTCTGTCTGTCTGTCTGTCTGTCTGTCTGTCTGTCTGTCTGTCTGTGTGAGTATTCGTTTGTGTTCAGCCTCCTACACGGCTTTTTGAATGTATCGCCGTCCCTGTTTTGTGTCGCAGTTGCTGCCTGGAACACGACTGGTGCTACTCGCAGTCCCCGTGCTCCAAGCTTTCCCTGTACCTGCTGCCCTACGACTGGCACTGCCTCACGCCCGGCTTGGCGCACTGCGGTCAGGCGCACTCCTAGCTCTCTCTCTCTCTCTGCGGACGTCTTGATCAACGCATTCGTGTCGAGGCTAAGTGGTGACGCGCCAACGCGTTGCTAGAGCACCGCTTTCACAGAAAGTGTCTGCTCAGCTAAAGCTTTGCGTTCACAAAACATTTGCTCGATTATGTCATTCGTTTTCTTCTGGCGACCACTTCAGAGGGCAATCGTAGAGATGTGGTAATGTGTGGTAGTCATACACAAAGATTATTTAGCCCCTTTCACTTTGCCAGTCACCAGGACTTTAAACGTTTGGGTTTCGTCTATGCAGAAAGAGCATTCCTTGGGGGAGTCTGGACACTGAAAACAAGAGAAGAAGGCCGGGGGAACAAGCGCATTTTTGTAAAACATACTGTAGATTTATTTTAATACGAATCATTATCAAAAAAGGTGTTTGTGCATTTGAATGAGCATCAAAGATTCAAAAAAGTTTGCAATGTTTTTACTCTACAACTGTCATTATTGACAAATTCTATAATATTTTATCAGACCACTCAATTCTTGGTCAGTACCCAGGGGGTATAATTCACAGTAGAAGGTGAGCAAGAACAAGTACTGTGGGGCTCACACGCTAAAGATTGTGTCTGGAACTTACCCCCCATCGGGTTCAGCATGTGTAACTACGAACGAGGGCGCAGGTTTGATTTCCGCCCACTCAGGCTACATTTAAATGATAGCGAAATATACAAAAGATCTCAATGCTTTAAATAGGTTAGAAATGGGTGGAAGTTGAACAACCTTACGTCCTAAGAATATTTCGGAGTCTCCCCCCCCCCCCCCCCCATTGCAGCGCGCCTCATAGTGATATTGTGGTTCCTACACGCAGAACCGCAGCTTATATTGGTGACAAATCGGCCAGGGCTCTGCTGCAGAGAAAGTAGCCTTCTCCTCCTGTAATAGCAGAGAGACATAGGAGCAGCAAGACCCCAGCTGCTCAGACTTTACAGAATTCTGTTGAACATTACTTGCATTTGGGACGCGTCGTGAATCACACGTAGTATCTGCCAGTCGAAAAAAAGTGCTTGATGCAAAGCATAACTATGGGGAAATGTCGCATGCAGATTGCTCTGGCCAAAGGTTCAAAGACGGCTAAAAATTGAGAAAGTAAATGCTGAACAGCGGGAAAGGCCACGGACATAGAGAAAAATAGCGTTCATGTCGTCTTTTCTCCTCTTCGACCACGTCTTTCTTGCACTGTTAACACCGAACAAAAGGAGCTCTGCCACTGTTCGCCATTTACGACGCTCCCTACTTGTTCTTACCGCTGTTAGTGCACGCAAAACAATCTGTCGTACATACAGCACAAACACAAAGACGAAACCACACGTGGCGTCGTGGCATCGACGCCAGGACTGCAGCGTTCACTTTTATAACTAATGCCTCCATAATAATTGCTACACCAGCTATAGTACTATTCTGTTACAAGGATATGAACAAGCTTTTTGCCGAGCTCGTTATTGCCATTTGCCCGGAGAGACCAGTTTTGATTGCCTATGAGCATACACTGGCAATACGTACGTAGTCATCTGCTGATATGACCTTAGCGAAAATTGCCTAATGTCTCTGAGCTAACAAGCGAATAATGATTACAAAATATGGTAGAAAAATTCGGTCAGGCTTTACCTAAAAAGTACAAGCTAAGAAGAAAAAATTCGTTTAACTTTTTTTTTCATTCTTCATAATACTTTCGACTATAATAAAAATGTCCCTCTAGTATGAAGAATTGAAAAAAATTACTACTCATTTCTTACAACGAGAATATGCGCCTCTAAGAACGAAAGCGCACGTTCACTGAATAATATTGTCTCCAGTTGGACGCACTTTTGGTGGTGCATGATTAGCGTTTCTAATTAAATTCCTCCGACGTATGTTTGAATACAACACTCAACTACACAAAGTAATTGACACACGCTCTATTAATCAATGACAAACACGCTATTGGTGAACGTTTGCTTCAGCACAGAAAGAATATCAGCTGGAAAAGTGAAAATAAGCTCAGAAAGCGCAGCAATCCATCGGGAAATTTTTGAAGTGACAAGGTGACAAAAATAAGCCCGAATCTATTTAAAAGTCCGTAAGCGAAAAAAGCCCTCAAAAAGGAACCCACCCGCGGTAATCCGTTGGATGTGCTGTTTAAAATTTATTCTCTGTCTTTTTTCCGCATGCAGCTTACGTCTGACACCTATATCTTTGTGAGTTGTGGAGTGTCTGTTTTGAGAATCGTTACGCATGCAGTTGGACGAACACATGGAAAACAAGCTGGGCAGAAAGAGCAATGGTTCTGTCAATATAGTTTTTCTGTGTGTGTGTTCGTCCCACTGTATGCGCAATGATTCCCGCCACTGTCAGATATGTATATCCATCTCATAGTTATTTTCTTCTTTTTTCTATTTCGAAAGCGTGCCCTTCGGCATAGTAATTTGTCTTTCTTCGCTGAAAAATGCGGGCGAGCTCTCAGTGTCCTCAACGTGCACTTTTTGTTTCTCCGTCATTTGCAGCGCACCCGTCATCACTGAGTCCACACGCCCACTGCGGTCAGCAGCTGTGCCAGTGTGACATAGACTTCGCCAACTGCGTCAGCCGCTACCCGTGCCCTCGCAGAAGGGCCTCGTGTCAGCACAGCAAGTTCGCCGCGTTGCACGGATTTCTGCACGGAAAAAAGAGATAGCAATTAACGAGCCCTGCCCCTCTCCATTGGGGACAGGGTGCCGACCGATACAATAATGGACTGCTGTATGCTCGTGGACCAACACCCACTGCACTGCTGGTGCCTCCACATTTGAGGCCACATGGCCCTACGCCGCACAAGAGACGAAAAGTCAAAGGTCATCGGCCTTCCGGTCATCCATCGGCCCGCCGACCTGGCTGGAGGTACAAAAGGCCACGGCAGGGCTCCACACCCTGGACTTCTATGTGGTTGCCAACTAACCCTTCTGTCGCCGCAAACAAGACTTTCCACGGGAAGTCGCGATCATACGCCGGTGCCAAGAAGACGCCGGAAGAGCCGCCAGCGAAGACGGAACATGAGAAATCCACGCAGATCGCACTAATCGATCCTCGAGAACTCCTACCCTTACCGGCGAATATTAGTGCGGTTCCACCCGAAACGCCAGGGCCACAATATGTGTTCCATGGGAGCGATGCCGTCAGCGCAGGTACTGTTTTGCTGAAAGAACATTCGGAGGAGCTGACCACCGCGTTCCCCGAGACACTTCCATCTTCGACTGCAAGCGTCGTGACGTCGAGTGACATCGCAGAGGACCCTCTCATACCGGAATTGACGTCACCACCTCCGCAGAGGCCCACTGCTCTAAGAGAAGCCTTGAGTGACCGTCAGGCAATGTTTATTAGAAAGAAAGCGCCACTGTACGGCTCTCACTCGCCAGGAACTGGCTTCTTCTTGGAAGCTAAATTAACTAAGTACCCAAAAGGGAGTGCACAAAACGTACCGATTACACAAACGCCCGAGCAGAACCAAGACTCTGCGACTTCAAGCACGACTCCGGTGAGGCTTTCGAAGGACAACGTGAGCGCACTAGCTCAAAATCAGTCGACACCAGCAACAACGACTTCACACAGATTTTCTCTCAGTACCACACGACGTGCTGAGCACACAAGCGCGGTGCAGTTTCCTGTTGCCGAAGAAAGTTCTAGTGACATACCGCCATCACATGAGCCAAGAGCTGCAGATCCCTCTGGTAAGGCCAGTGAGCAAGCCACTGAGTCTTACGAACAGTCAATGGTGAGAAAGCAGCTAGGCGCTCACAGTGCTGAAACACAGCCTAGTCCGCGCTGAACCACTTGCAGGGTCCGTCAGGCCTACCTCAAAATTGTGATTGGTTTGCTTTCTGTGGCGTGCACTGGGCCAGGTAGAATAGACATTGTGAGTCGAAACCTTGATAGCTTTTTGTTGTTAGACAATTCACTGTCAAAGACTGTTGTACAAAACTGTTATGTTTTTGCAGTGAGCGCGTGTTTGTGTTATATGGCAGAAAAGAGAAGAGCTAGGACCATTGTATTTGCCAACCTGTGTATTCTGCACTGTTATGCGACACAGACATTACTGTCGTACTGTTTTAATTATTTTAATGCTTCACAAGCTGCATATATTTCATCAATAAATGTTACTGATCCATTTCATTCACTTAGTATCTCTTAATACTAATGTTACCGTTCCGTATTTTATTCACTTTGCGAGACTTTCTTTTTTCTAGGAGCCATAGTGGGAGTTGTGGATCCACCGTATGGTCTTTCGAAAAGAAGTTTCTGCAGTGTTGCTGTTTCAATGCAATGATGTGGCACCTGACTTGTTATTGTAGGGGCCCACTTACCGGCAAAGTCAAGAAGCTGCCACAAATAAAATTAGACGTTATTTAACTATTTTGATTTTGTCAGAAACAATAGAAGCCGATGGGCATCTAATATGAACCTTGTTGCTGATGATTGCGGACGCGCGGCAACAAGGAGCAGAGCGTCGCAGAGGACAAAGAGGAAGTGGAGTCACGAGCAGTCGAATAAACACGGAGTGCTTGGTGTAGGGCTCGGGTTTCTTATTATGCGACAAACGTTACACAGAAGCTTATATTCCGTCCAGGCCTCACGGTTTTCTCAATTACGCCATGGGCGAAGTCTGAACCTCTCTCACACTGCTGCAATGATCGTCACCATTATTATTAGGAGAATAGTCAGAATAATCCTCGATTCAGGCTTCACTGGTGAAGTTGTTTTATGAAGCATTAATTAATTTTACCTGACAGCAGGCGTGTCAGTCACAAAGCCCTTTTGCGGGAGGTGATCAGATAAGGATGGAGATGGGTTATGCTACTACCAGACATGACACCTCTGTTTTGGGTGGGTTTATTGGTACCGGTTGTTTTATATTGTCATGTTCTAAACAAAGGCGACTTTTACAAGGCGGCTTCACAAGTCGAAGTCCCAAGAGAAGTCGACACAGCACAGCCAAAACAAAGGCACGGACACGAGAACTACTGCGCCTCCATCTGCCTATTTCTCGCTGGCAGATGAAGATAAAGTGCGTCGAATTGCTCCTCCTCCCGAAAGAGCATCGCCTCAATGCTAAACAAAGCACTTGCGATAAATATAAACAAAAATTTATGTCCGGAAAACCATGAATGTTACAATGTGTGGTACGTGCACAACCTCCGGCCGCGGATGTTGGCATTGTGTTGGTTGGCTTCCGTCCGCAAGGACATTGTAGTTGACGTCACTAACTTGTCGTAGAATCTTGTCAGGGCCCAATCACTGGCTGAGAAGCTTTTCAGAAAAACATTTGCGGCAAACGGAGGTTCAAACTAGCACTTAGTAACCCCATTGGTAGTCGACTTGCCTGTGACGGAGGTTGTAGCGCGGTGTGTCGATGCACTGTTTTTTTTTATGTTCACCCAGGCCAGTTGGCGCGCACCCTCGGCTCGTTGAACAAAATATTCAGCATCTTCATCAAGATTGTCGATTCTGTCAATGACGTTTGGGAGCATTAAATCTCACGTCGTCTGAACATCACGACCATATAGCACGAAATGGCGTGGAGCGTGGGGTCTCTTGCGTAATGGTATTATACGCGAATGTTACGTAAGGCAGTACCTCATCCCACATCTTGTGCTGCACGTCTATGTACATAGCCAGCATATCAGTCATCGTTTCGTTCAGCCTTACAGTTAACCCGTTTGTTTGTGGGTGATAGGCTGTAGTTCTGCGATGCGTGTTGTAACTTAGCTGGAAGGCGTGTTCAAGGAGGAATGCCACAAACACCGTTCCTCGTTATGTGACGACGCAGGATGGAGCGCCATGGCGAAGTACAGCACTCTTTACAAAAAACTGAACAATTTCAGAAGCTCCATCTTTCGGAAGAGCCTTTGTTTCTACACAGCGGGCTCAATAATATGTGTTGACGATTATACACGTTTTTTCCGAAGACTACAAGACAAACGGCCCCAGGAGGTACGTGACGACCTGATCTAAAGATGTTCTGGCTGGCTCAATAGGCTGAAATAATTCCGTGGGCTTCACAAATGGGAACTTTCGGCGCTGGTATCCGCGGCAGGCTCGAACGTCTTGTTTAAAGCAAGCGCAAAGTTACGGCCAGTAGTAAGACTTGTGTACCTTAGCAAGGACTCGAGTGATGCCCAAGTGGCCAGATGGAGGGTCGTTATGTCACACAAATAGAACTTTGTCATGAAGCCCTGCTGGAACGACCAACAGATAAGTTTGCTCGCTGGTAGGAGCGTTAATCTTGTACAACACACTTTGTCGCAAGTAAAAGGATGACAATCCGCGAGCTATATGCGGGGGCACAGATACGTTGCGGCCTTCAATATGTTCAATTATAGGTCGCAATCCAGCATCCACAGTCTGCTTTGTAGGTACGTCTGGTATGCTTACGGCTCCCAAAAAAGGCCATTTATCTTCGAGGTTTTGAGCAGTAGGCTCAACTGGCGCACAGGACATCATGCCTGCATCTACGTGTGCGTTACCTGACTTACACAGGATAGTGACGTCATACTTCTTCAGTCATAGGTTCCACCAGGCTAATCGTTCGGAAAGATCTCTTACGTTCGCCAACCGTCCCAGCGAGTGATGATCCGTCACTACTTCGAATAGACGTCCGAAAGGTAAGGCCGAAACTTAGCAAGTGTCCATGCGACGGCAAGGCAGTTCTTTTCCGTGGTGCTCTAGTTGTACTCTGGTCGTGGCACGGTGCGACTTGTGTAGGCGATAACTTTTTCAAATTCCTCCTGCCGCTGCATGGATACCACGTCCAGGTCATTGTTACAGGCGTCGGTATGAATTTCTGTTTTGGCATCCTCGTGAAAGAACCCAGGAACAGGTGGTGATTCCAGTCGATGCCACAGCTCGGTGAACGCCGTTTACTGTTCAGAGCTCTAAATAAACGGTGTGTCATCTCTGAAGAGGCGAGTAAGTTGTTCGCAATCTTCGAAAAATTTCCTCTAGAGCGTAGGTCGCCATCATCATCATCAGCATGACTACGTCTACTGCAGGACAAAGGCCTCTCTCATGTTCCTCCAGTCAACTCAGTACTGTGCTTGCTGCTGCCAATTTATATCCGCAAACTTCTCAATCTCATCTGCCCACCCAACCTTCTGTTTCCCCCTAACCCGCTTGTCTTCCCTAAGAATCCAGTTAGTTCTACTAATGACCAGCGGTTATCCTGTCTTAATGCTACATACCGCCCATATTCATTTCTTCTTCTTGTTTTCAACTATTATATCATCAACTCCGGTTTGTTCCCTAATCCACTCTGCTCTCTTCTTGTCTGTTAAGGTTTCACCTACCATTTCTCTTTCCATCGCTCGCTGCGTCTTCCTCAATTTAAGCTCAACCCTCTTTGTAAGTCTCCAGGTTTCTGATCCGTAGACCCGCCGTGGTGTTCTAGTGGCTCGGTACTCGGCTGCTGACCCGCAGGTCGTGGGATCAAATCCCGGCTGCAGCGGAGGCGAAAATGTTGTAGGCCCGTGTGCTCAAATTTAGGTGCACGTTAAAGAACCCCAGGTGGTCAAAATTTCCGGAGCTCTCCACTACGACATCTATCATAATCATATGGTGGTTTTGGGACGTTAAACCCTACAAATCAATCAATTCTGCTCCGTAGCTAAGTACCGGCAACACGCAGCTGTTATATACCTTTCTTTTGAGGGATAGTGGCAGTCTACCTGTCATGATTTGAGAGTGCTTGCCAAATGTGCTCCACCCCATTCTCATTCGTCTAGTTACTTCAGTCTCGTGGTTCGGCTCCGCGTTTATTACCTGTTCCAAGCAGACATAGTCTTTTACAACTTCCAGTGCACTATTACCTATCTCGAAGCGCTGTTCTTTTCTGGGGTTATTGTACATTACTTTCGTTTTGTGCAGGATAATTTTAAGACCTACTTTTCTGCTCTCCCTGTCTAACTCCGTAATCATGAGTTGCAATTCGTATCCTGAGTTACTCAGCAATGCAATGTCATCGGCGAAGCGGAGGTTACTAAAGTACTTTCCATTAACCTTTATGCCTAACTATTCCCATTCTAGACTTCTGAAAACCTCTTTACAGAGCGTAGGTAGTATGCACATAACCCAAGGAACTGTTGAACGCTTATCTATCAATAGGAGTCATGAAGGCTGCTTTAATGGCTGTTTTACTGGGGGTTAAAAAGGACGCCTTCCCCACTCACAACATGGCGAAAAAACTGCAGTTCCTCAATACCGAACTTGCATATTTTGGCCGTTCGGGTGGCCCCGAGTATTTTTCTTAGCCAATTCAGATGTTAGAAGGTCGCTGTAAACACGATCACGTCATTAAGTAGACAAGGCAGCTTTGCAAGTTTTAGTCGGCTAACACTGTCCATCATGCGCTGGGAGGTAGCTGGCGCAGAGAAGAGACCAAAAAGGAGCACTCAAAATTCGCAGAGACTATCCGGCATTACAAGAGCGGTTTTTTCGTGGTCGCGCTCATCAACCTCGATTTGCCAATAGCCGCTTTTCAAATCAAATGAAGAAAAATACTTCGCTCTCGGTAGCATGTCAAACTAGTAAATGGCAGCGGGTAGAAGTCCTTTTTTTTTGTTACGTTGTTGAGCTATCTGTCATCCACACCGAAGTGAAGCATACCATCTTTTTTGTTGACCAGGACGACTGGTGATGACTACAGACTGTTCGAAGGCTAATACCATCATCGTTCATCATTTCATTCACTTCCTCTTTGATTGCTTGACGTTCTTTCTGCGAGACACAGCATGACTGTTGGTGGATAGGTCTCGCATCCGCGCGATTGCGGGGTAATAATGACGGAAATTGTGTCAGCTGTAGAAACGGCAATCCATAACACTAGGAACCGCCTATTATTAGTGTGTTCTTTAACGGCGTTTATTTGCAAATTTATTCAGCAGCACCAGGGAGAACCGAAGATACATGTATGCTCGATACCATCTGGTATACTTATTTGGTATCTTGTATCTGTAACTTCATGATACCTGCAGCAAATGCGATATCAGCGTCTGTATTTCTGAGACATTCCTGGCACAAATGACTGTGGCTTTATAGAAATGCAATAAAGACCATTAAAGTTTAGTGTAAATTTTTCGTAACCAGAGCAAATTCTTCGGCAACTAAGAAGCTTTTTTTTC